ATATTTTTTATTATTATGTAATTTCTTTCCGAATTTTATTAGGGTTTCGCTATTTAAACGTTGTAAGCCTTTTGAGGCAGCTCAGTTTTGAATGAAATAAAGTTTTTCTTGAATTTCTCTTGATTGAAATTCTTTTTGTGAGATTTTTGTCTTTCCTATAATCTTCCCCTGCATCAAAAAGAAAATACTTAATGATGGAAATAAGATCCCAAAAATATGGCTTAATTTGAGATCGTAATCTATATCAAAAATGAAATTAAAATATTACTAAAAATGGCAAAAAAATAACTTAAATTGATGATTCGGAAGGGAAAACAGCTGAATTTGGCTTCGAAATCGATGCACACCGAGCATAGCTGGGTGACCACGACGTGCACACCGAAAAGAGCTTTCTGACTTGGGGTCATGGGCGTGATTCTAATAACCGTAGCCAAAGTTATGGTCAAAATACCGAAACGTGTCCAAAAAAATCCCAATTAGGAAATGTCGATGATTATTTTCCAATTTTGCGCTGATCCACCAACTCATGGTATCTCAGCGCCATTAACGCACTATCAGACAGCTCGACCTCGTCTGACTCGAATCCTCCTGCATCAGTTGTCGGCCTGTAGCTCAGAATTAAGTCATTCCTAAGTATATTGCAAAATTAGGTGCCATGTCTACCTAGTTTAAACAAAAATAATAATAATAAATTGTGTAAAAGTCATAAGTGATTAATAAAAAAAATACTTCATTTCCATGTTACGGAAAAGGTTTCTTAAAGTTTTGTGGGAGTTTCAATTATTGAATCGTTTTTCACATGCTCACGAATAGTGCCTATGTTTAGGTTTCATTTTTCAGTTGGTGCCAGTTTGAAAAACTTAAAAAGTTATTATAAAGTTAAAAGGGTTTTATCAAAAGCTTTGTTAAATGCAGCCTTTTTAAAATTATAAGTTGGTATAAATAAGTAATCGATAAGTGGGTAATTGTGGATTCTACAAAATGTGTGGTTAAGTTATTGTCTTTGTATGAGTTTCTATTTTTGATAAAATTATGAGTTGATACAAATGAGCGCCAGATAAGTGGGTAACTTCAATGAATCTTACGAGATGTATTATTATAATTAAAGAGTATCTTTAACTTTAAAAAATAAGAAGGAACTAAAGAAGAACTCAAACCTTTTGAAATTTGGTGCAACATAGAATATATCTTCATAGGGTATCGAATAAAAACAATAAATATTGTCTGCCATTTAAGGTCTCACTTGTCAAAAAAAAAAAAAATGAAAAATGAAAAAAATTAGGTTATAAAATCACGAGAGGGTTTGGAAGTTTTCTGCCTCACAATATCTCACATTTAGAACTTCCTTTTCATTGCGTTAAATAATCAAGAATGGGATTGACTGGTAAGTTAATTGCGCAGTTAGAGTTTGAGGCTGGTGGAGATGTGTTTCATGAATTTTTCAGGCATAATCCTCACCAGTTATCCGATGCCTGTGTTGGAAAGGTACATGCTTGTGAATTGGTTGAAGGAGAATTCGGAAAAGTCGGCTGCGTCGTTATTTTCAGATACTCTCATGGTAAGACATATTACTTTTTTTAACTTACTATCAAAATAAAAACTTCTTATTTTCAACTTTGAGGAATATGAAATACTTTTGTTTCTGAACTTAATTACTTCTAAGTAAACTTGCATTTTTGCATAGATGATGGGAAACAGCAGAGTGCAAAAATGGTGCTTGATTCTATTGATGAAGAGAAACAGGCATTGGTTGTAAAGGTTCTTGAAGGAGATGTGATGGAATTCTACAAGACATTCACCATAACTGTTCATGTTGAAACGAAAGATGAGATCGACCATGTTACATGGACTTTGGAGTATGAGATGTTGCATGAAGATGTTCCGCATCCAATTTCATGGTTGGCATACTACATTGATATCACCGTAGACGTTGAGACTCATCATCTTGCGAAGAATTGAGTTCTCTATTTCTCGAGTGTATTGAATTATATTAAATAAAGTAAGATAAATCAAGTGTGGTGTGTTGTTATTACATTTTCATATGATTTGTCATCGTTAGAGATGTGGTTGGGTGAAGTTTGCTCTAGTATTCATGTGAGAGGATGCATGAAGATGTTACGTATTGTCTTTTATTTTTATTTTTTCTCAAGTGTGTTTATGTACGTGAAATGCTAAGTGTGTTTGCTCTAATAGAAGTTAATATTTATTTCTAAATGTGGCTCTAGATCCCAGCATGTTAAGATTTATATTTTCGTAGATCCCAGCATGTTAAGATTTATATTTTCGTANACGCTAACCACCCAGCCTTACGCTCGATACACAGTTGAAGAGGTAGATCGTGAACGCTACAGGTATGGGAGCGAGCCTGATCAGGGAAGGTTAAGAGGGAACCTAGCATATGGGTAGCAAGAGGACGTTTATGCCTCGATGGTGGGGCTTTATGGGGAATGGCCAAGTCCAATAGGGACAGCAGAGCCTCCACTTCAAGCGCACCTTTGTATTGACTGAATCACTCTAAAGGCTAGTCGATGGAACCGATGAACCACGCAAGTTGGTTAGATGTGTGGGGTAGAGGGCTCATAGTACCCCCTCCCCCCCCCCCCCCCCCCCCCCCCCCCCCCC